TCTCACCTGGCACACTGCTGATCTGGCCAGAACCTGTTCCTGCTTCTCTAAAAATGGCATAATCACTATGACAGCTATACAGGATTGTTGAAACAAATTAAAGCAACACCTCTAAAGTCCTTATCAAGATGCTTAGCACATAGGAATTGCTCAATAAATGGTAGATAGTACCTCCCAAGAAGGTTAGATGACTCAATATTTCTAAAAAGTTCAGTGAAACATACAACTGGCATTCTGGGTGATTAACTGTTCATGCTCTAAGCCCTCAATTTAACATGGAAGGATGACATTATTTTAACTACATTTAAAAATGATAGTCCAGGAAAGAATTTCCCCTGCCTTATGGTCTCAGCACCACAGTGACCGAGATTAAGACATTGCCACTTTTCCCCCACTGCTGCTTGAAACGAGGCAGGGAGGCAAGAATGGAAAAGGGGAAGAGGAAGGAGAGGAGAGACAATATAGTGCAATAGAAGAAACAGGATTCAGATTCTGGGTCGAAACACTAGCAGATAAGCAGGTGAATAGACTGGTTAAAAGGGCATGGCCCTCACAGCTAATATCACACTCAATGGTGAAAATCTGAAAGCTTTTCCTCCAAGATGAGGAACATGGCAAGGATGCCCACTCTTGTCACTTCTATGCAACATAGTACTGGAAGTCCCGGCCAGAGCAATCAGGCAAGAAAAAGAAATAAAAGAAAGCATCCAGATTGGAGAGGAAGAAGTTATTTCCGTTAGTAGATGACACAATCTTACATGTAGAAATCACCAGACTCCACAAAAAACCTGTTAGAACTAATAAACTAATTCAGTGAAGTTGCAGTATACAAAATGCACATACAAAAATCAGACGCATTTCCATACATTAATTTGAACAATCTCAAAGCGGAAATTAAGAAAACAATTACAATAGCATCAAAAAGATTAAAATTCTGAGTAATAAACCTAACCAAGGAGACAAAAGATTTGTACACCGAAAACTATAAAACACCCATAAAAGAAATTCAAAAAGACACAAATAAATGGAAAGATATCTCATATTATGGATCAGAAGACTTAATTTTTTAAAACATCCATAATTTCCCAAAGTAATCTACAGAGTCAATGCAAACCCTATCAAAATTTCAATGGCATTTTTATACAAATAGGAAAAAACAATCCTAAAATTCATATGGAAGCACAAAGGACCCTGAATAGCCAAAACAATCATGAAAAAGAAGAACCAAAGCTGGAGGCCTCATACTTGCTGGTTTCAAAATATGTTGTAAAGCTACAATAATTAAAAAAGTATGGTACCAGCATACAGATAGAACAAATGGAACAGAATAGAGAGCCCAGAAATAAACTCATGCATATATGATCAACTGATCTTCAACTAGGGTTCTAAGAATACACAATGGAGAAGACAGTCTCTTCAACAATTGGTGCTAGGAAAACTAGATATTCACCCACAAAAGAGCATGGCCTCTGGACCTAGTCAGCCTGAAGTTAAAGCCATATTTACCAATAAGTTAGTTAAATTCTCTGTGCCTTAATTTCCTCATCTACAAAATGGGGGTAATCATGGTAACTTCTTCCTAAGGTTGTTGGGAGATTTAAATAATATGCTTAGAATCACCTCTGACATAAAGTTCTAATTTAATTACTGTTATTTAAATGGGACCTAAGAAACTAAGCTTCACTTTCCTTTATTATAAAAGGGAAACAAAATCTAACCTGTTGGGTCACGGGGATGGAGTAAGTGACATAGCAAATATAAAACCTCCCAGTCCATTCCTGGGTCTAGAGGAATCAAAGGAAGTCTGGTAAGCTTCAGAGTGAGCCCATTCCCAAGAGGTGGGGGGAAAGGGGTTCCCAACAGAGATTACTGAGGAGGGGAGTCCAAAGGAAGGATCCCCTCCCTCAGAATGGGTGGTTCACCACAACAAGGCCAAACCCAAGGCCTTTTCTCCTCTACCACCCTGTTCAGAGTCACTAACTGGTATTTTTCACTATTGAAAACATTTAGTCCTGGATGGATATGTTTAATCAGGAAGAGGGGGCTTAGTCAGCTGGGTGGAAAACCTGACGTTTAACATTCTAACTATACTCTACTTCCTCTAGACCTACAGTCCCCAAGCCCCAAGCAGTGGTCTGGTACTGGTCCATGACATGTTAGGAACCAGGCTGTGTATCACTGCCTGAGCTCTGTGCTACCCCCACCTGCTTCCCATCCATGGAAAAATTGTCTTCCATAAAACTGGTCTCTGGTGCCAAAATGGTTGGAGACCACTGGAACCACCCCATCAGGATCTTAGAATCAAAATGTGTTCATTGATATATCACTGGAAAAAATTCTAAGTGAGTTCACATCTCTTTCCCCATTGGATCCCATGGTGAGATCAGCAGTGTAGCATCCTCCACTTCACAGGGAAGAAAACTAGAAATGGGAGATTGATTCACTCTGACTAGCTCTCACCCTCTTGGCCCAGGGCTCATTTCACCACACAGACCATTGGAGCCTCCTTTTGGTAGCAAATTCTCCTCCCCTTCCTCTCCCACCCCACCCAGAGAAATGAAAGAGGCATAATTGTTCTCCATAATGACATTAATGCCCTTTGCAAACATTTACTCATTCTAGAAGAAATATAATCTGATTGTGGTAAATGTCAATAAAAATTTATAAGTGCATCTTTCTTTAGAATTGTTGACAAGAGTTTATGGGGGGAAAGTCCATATACTCAAATGAAAATATCAGAATAAAACTCTAACTACATGATAGAAAACTCACAATGATTAGTCAGGTTGCCCTTTTCAGAGAAAACTCAGAAGAGAAGAAACTCAGTTTATATCTACCCTGTTGAACAATGTAAATTAACACATTTTCCTAAGGCACTTTATTTCCCTGTCAACAAAATAGAGTGTATCAGTTGAAATAGGCCACAGACTTTATTATCTAAGAAACTAGGTAGGGTAGAAATGAACTGAGAAAGCCTAGTAATAACCTGGTAGCAATCCATTGACATTTAACCTTGCTGTCATTCCTTTTCATTCCCCTCTGCTGGATGTTCGTGGAATTTGCATACGTGGAGAGTTGCATACCTGTAATGGACAAGTTCCACTGATTCTGTTATAGCAGATTCTACCCAACCACTGATTCTTCTCATCCCTATCCAGTTAACACATCCTCACTGTTCACAATCCACAAGACAATGACAACGATGCATAAAGACAGGTGTAAAGATGTAAAAGGCCCTTAGGAAGCTCATAATCTAGAGGGGCCAGGTCTAATCATCTCCTCCATGATTCACTGATGTTCTCCCAATAGACTCTACACCTGATCCTTTACTTTGGTCTTCAAAACTATTATAGTCACCGCCAATGGCTTTGAGCCTTAACTTTGGATTTCTAGCTCTCCTTGGGAAGTGAACGCCTCTGCCCAGCCCCACTGTAGCATGGTCTGTTTGGGGGCAGCTTTAGAATTCCTACAGAGGATGGGCTTTGGGATAGGCTGGCTTAAAGGGAGAACAGGGGCTTGCCTTAAAGGTTCATTTACAAAGCAAGTACACTGCTTTCATTTAGACTGCATATTTGCTTGGATGGCCTTTGGGAAAACCATCAGGTTTACAGAGGGGCTAATGTGCTCTCTAACCCAGCCCTGTCACCTGCCAAGCCATCCCTTGATAACACCCATGAATCTGCACATGGCTGAGGCAAGGCCAACTAGAATAGAAGCTCCATCCTAATGTCCCAGAGAACAATGAAGACATGGGACTAGATGATGAGTAATTAGGAAGGTTGATTAACATCCTTAAGAAGGGGTGGGGCAGGCTGTACTGGGTGTGTTGCCTTCCAGAGTGACACTCAGTCTGGCGTAGCCTGAGATATATGAATGATTCATATCTAAGGAGGGGAGACAAGCTTCATAGGAGCAGGGCAGTGCCAGGGGTCATGGACAAGAGAGGAGTTCAAGATGAGAGGCAGGTGGGATAGGAGGCTAGAGGTCAGGCACTGCAGAGGCCAGGCAAGGAAGAGAAGAGAGAAGAGGAACACAGAGAGGGACATAGGCCTGAGGGTGTTGAAGAATAGGTGGTACAACTCAGGATGTTAGGGCCTTCCCCTCAGTCGGTGCTACCCTCCTGGCTTGTCAGGTCAGGCAGAGAGCAACAAACACCTTTCAGACTAAATTAAACAATTAGTTTAATTGTATTAGAGGGAGCAATGCCTTGAGTCAGTTTAGGGCTTTGCAGAGTGAAACTCAGAGAGCCAAGTTAGCAAGAAGGCTCAGGGGAGTAAGGACGGTGTGGGTACACTCAATTCAACATGCGATGGTTGCCATCACCACCCTCCTTCTGACCTACAGGTGGGTGGCTACCTCTTTGTTTTTGTCCACCAAGAACTGAGATAAGCAGACAGTATGGGAAATTCTAAGAGGGAATTAAAGCTTCTGTGGAACTTTGCCCTGTGCCTTTGATCATGCAGGGTAGGCAGTCTCAGTCCTGAAATGTATCTCCCACTTGTATTTCCCACAAAGAGCTTTCTCAACCTTTGGTACAATTTCCTCCTTGAAGCCTAGAATGACATCAGATGTCTGGAGAGAGGGATGTGGAGAGGGTGCAGCAATACCCACTTAGCTCCCAAGACACCCAGAGATCCTACTGCCCCCAAATAGTCAGTGCCGACTGAGCCTGCTTGGGCTGGCCCACCTCTGGATGCCTGGCCTCTTTAATTCCAACATTTACATGGCCTTTCACAGGGCACAAAGCTCTTCCACATACATAACTTAATGGGATCCATCAACAACCCATGCAGACAGATAGAAAAGGAATTACTATCTCCATTGTGTAAACGAGAAAACTGATTCAAGGATAACAAGTAATGTATTCAAGGTGACAAGAACTCACAAAAGTGGGGCTGGGATTAGAACCCAGAGCCCTGTACTCCAAGTGCCTCTAGCCCATCATTTGCATTTGCAAAAGCACAAACTCTCAGTGCAGACAGTCCCCATCTTCACCACACCTCATCCATGGCAGGACTATGTTCCAGGAGACTCCTCCTCATACATACAGAATCCAGGATGAAGGACAAAGGATCATCAAGGCTAGAAAGGAGGAGGCTCGGTACCTGCAGGAGGAACAATGAAGGGAGGGGTGAAAGGCTCATGGCTAGGAAAGAGGAAAGCAAGTAAGAAAAGTTTCCGTAACATCTCTAAGTCACCTACGACTTGGAAATCCATCTTTGCACTCTTCCAGGAACACTATACATTTGCATCAGTGTTTACAGAAATGTCAATAGTTTAATGTTTACATGGAAGAAAAGAAAGCAACCAGCATGTAAGGAGTACTTCCCGTATATCAGAAACTGTGCTAAAGTGCTTTCTCTTTTAAGGGAGGGGGATATAATCTTCATTTTTACAGATGAGGAAAGCCTGGACTGGAACAAAAAGCTGGTGTGACTGCAAATCCTTGCTCTTCCTTTTATATCACGTTAATAATGCCTTGGGCCTGGTCTGCCATTTAGAAGCTTGCAATCAGACTTAACCACTCTGTTGGGTATAATCACAGGCCAGAAAGCATTTGAACTAATGTATACTCCAAGGAGAATGGCTAATGGATAATTTGAGTTATCGTAATTCCCATTTGAGTTATAGTGATTCCCCTTGCCCCAGCCCAAAGAAATAAGAGGTTGGGCTTAAGTCATGGTGAACTGGGCTCCTCAGCAGGAAGCTGGGGAATGCAGAGCAGCAGCAGCCAGCCTCAGGCATGTATGTACAGCTGCCTCTGGGAGTGTGTGCCTCAGTTGCCGCCTGGCTGCAACGCTGTGTGCGCATTTGTCCCTCTGTGCATGTGTGTTTTTGAAAAATGAGATAGTTAACCTGTTGCAGTATCTCAAATGGGTTCTGATGAACACACATGAAAAACAATAGCATATTTCAATGTTTTCATTTCAGTCTTCGTCTATAGAAAACATACAGACTTGTTCTACCAAACATCTTATAAAACTGCCAGCTACCTAAAATAGATCTGATCTGATATAGAGCATCTGGTAGTTGATGCATATATTGGCCAGATTTACAAAAGTGGAGTGTCACTTAAATCAAAGCTACAAATTCTGAATTCTAAAGGCAAAAAAAAGGAAACAAGAAAAATTTGCCAAAATGATCTATTTTCCTAATTACACGGTAGTGACAATCACTGTAACTGTTGTCCAGATGATTAGATGTCCAGATCCCTATATGATAATAGGTCAGTACAGTCTAGAAGTGTATCTTAAGTACACAATATAAGGTTTGCTTGCTGGTCTTTTTAGAATGGTCGTTTGTTTAGACAAACATGGTGATAAAAGAGCCAAGGATGTGTGTTTCTAACTGTATCACTTCTGGCCAAAAAAAAGGAAAATTCTATTCACTAGACTCAGACCACCATACAATTGGATCCAATGTCTCATAGGAAGGTTTAGCAACTATAGATAGTTCACTGGAAAACCCAACAACTCTACTTAGCTACACAAAAAACTATGCATTAATGAAATGCTGCCCAGTGCACCGAATAATCACCTACTTATAAAGAAAGGATTGTCTGTGACCAACGTTTATGATATTCTCCGACTTATAAAAAGTAGGAACTGTGAGAAGTTGAGCGGCCCTTTACTTCTAAAATGACATTCCAAGACCAGGTAACACTTACTCTAGGCAGCAAAGGAGTGAGGAGGGAGAAGACTGTTGTAACGCCAATAACAAATTACGAAGAACACATTTCGTGGAAATCACTCGGGTAAAAATTGACCTACAAATGCTTTTGAGGGCTGTTCTAATGATTACCTTAATAAGACTAAATTGTTTCCAATATTCACAGTCACTCCTCAAATTACATGCTTGAGAAATTTCTAAGCGATTTTGGGAGTTGCAACTTGCTGCCGGAAAGCAATAAAGTAACACTGCCACAGAACACAGCACCTTTGTCTGCCAGTGGTGAGCGGGGTCCCGGGAACTTTCCAGCACCTAGCACCACCCCGATTGTGTTACTAGTTAGCTAATAACTTTCCCTCGAATCTTTACATGCCTGCGCAGGTTCAAGCTGTTCCCCAACGGACACATCATTGCACCGGGTGTAACTGGAGGCTGGAAATGTTATACCTCTTGGCTCCACGGGAGAAGCCCAGCTGCCTAATCACCATCGACGGCAGGAAGCCCGAGTTTGGGAAACAGCACCTGTGCAAAGGCACAGTGCCGCCTGCGCCCCTGCGCTCTGCCCACCAGCACCCCGCAGAGGCGGGCGGGCGCCAGGCTGATTTTGCATCTGTATTGTTTTTTGCTCCGAGGGGGGAAAAAGTGGGGAACGGGCGAGATGCGCCACACACCCGCCCTAAGAGTCCTGTCCCAGGAGTGTGGAGTGGGTCTGGGGCCCAGGCTGCAAGCAAGCCGGGCACCCCTGCAAAGCCGCGGGCTGGGCCCGGCGGAGGCCCCTGCGCCCGGCCTCCCCACGCGCGCCCCGGCCGGCCGTGGCTCCCGGAACCCTCCCGCGCCCGGCACCTCACTCACCGCTCACGCTCGCCCGCGCCGCCGAGCCCGGGAGCCGGGGCCCCTGCCGCTGCCGCATGCCCTCGGGGGCGGGCGGGCGGGCGGCGGAGCGCCTCCTCTCCAGAGGCCGCTGAGACGCGCCCCGAGCCCGAGGAAAGTTTGGCGGGGCGAGGGAGGGGGCGGAGGGCCCGCGTCCCCGCCCGGCCCCGCCCGGTCCCGCCCTGCCCGGCGCGTGCACCGTTCCCACGGGAGGGCGCCCCGCACCGGCCAGGCCGGGAGGTGCGCGCGGAGGGCCCGCGGGAGCCCGGGGAGGCCCGCTCTGCTGCAGAGGCGCTCCTGCCCGGAACCCGTCCCCCAGAGGGTGACCGGCCCCGAGGGGGAGAGGGCACCCACTAAAGGACCGCTAGCACCCGCAGTCCTGACAGAGCCATACCTTGGAGCTCCGTATTAAGGTGCAGCCCCTCTGCCCTCTCGCCTCAGAGACTTGTTTGAAGTGGCTGCGGGAAGCGCAGCCCACACCCACCGCCAGGGGTAGGCAGGCGAGTGAGGCCAGTTCCAAAACTGGAACCCGAAAGCTGCTGAGGGGTGCAGGCAGCCCCTCCTAGGCACCTTTTTATTACAACAGAAAACAAAATATCTTTAAGGTTCTTGTAAGAGGCTTGTTGGCTGCCCAGGGTAAATAGTCCTAGATACCTTGTTTTTCAAATCTGAAATACAGAGCCTCCACTGAAGAAGAAGGATGCAAAGTAAAACAGATGCCAGGAAGGCGTTGTTGTTCTCTCTGAATTCTGCAACAAGGTCACAGAAATGCTGAAAGCTGGTCTTTCCTGGTGACCTCACAAGAAGGAAATACTGTGAAGTGAAAAGTCCTTCCCACTCAGGCTTCAAATCCTTGGAAAACACTGAGAATGATGTACCCAGAAGTCCTCCAGTGGCCCTTTGTGGTTCGTTCGTTCGTTCATTCATTCATTCTTTGTGCATTCAGTATGAATATTGGGCCCTTCTGCGGGCCAGCTAGCCACCACAGCCTAGGAAACAACCGTCAGTCTGCCCTCTACCACCAAAGAGACTCTGCTCTCTTAAGACAATGTTTTAATGATGTTATATTACTGACGCAATGGATCTTACCCCATAGACCATGACAGCCTAGTGTGCCTCAAACCTTTGCAGGGATGTGGCTAAATTTTGATCAGCATGTGCGAATTATTATTGCTGTATCTGGGTGTTCAGAAAATTATTGTGGTGTCTTGTGGATGCACTGGGTAGAGAGCAGTACAACTTGCAAAGCTGGTGCTAAGGAAAGATCATACGTTTACCAGAACAAGCAGAAACCTTGCATGTGATAAAGAGACTAGGTCAGGAGAATAAACAGCTCAAATCAGATATCACAGTGCCAGAGCAACCTGGTGAACACAAAAATTCTCAACCACCGGCACTCAGTGAACACTTGACTCAACAAACGTGTAGTACCTTAAGCAAGCAAGTTGTTGTAGGCTGGACTGAGAACTGTAAACACCATTTAGAGCCTTCTTTTGCTGGGAAATGTGTTCCCAGCTCTAAACAACTTACTAACAAAAAAGCACTTTGGAAATATGTTTTGTTGTAACTGGGAAACTTCCTGAACTTGAGCATTGCAAAGGCAAACAGGGATTCTGTGTGGAGCCCCTGACTACCTTTAACACAAAAATCATTTAAAAATGGGGAGGAGAAGAGTTGTACAGGGAACTGTGTTGCAAAAGGAAAAATACATTTTAGCTAGAAGGTTTTTAACAAATATGGGTCAGATGTGAGAAGGCAAGAAAGTAATGCTGAAAAACAGATTTGGGGGGAAGGAACAATAATAAAGACCCACAGGCAGGAGCAGGGAAGAAAGGACAAGAGGCAAGGGACAGCTAAAAGGAAAGACATGACCCCCAAATGCTAGTTTTTAGAAGGTAGCTCAGGGATTATCCACCAGAATCTTCTATAAGTTCTTTTCAGTCTATGGTGTCTTACTTCTCTCCCAAAATGGTTTTATTAGTAAAATCAAATTAAAATTAACATCAAAAATGGCAAGCATGAAGCCTGAGGGTATACTTTGCCTTAGAGATCTCTGGCTGGAAAATCATTCAAAACTTTTTCAACAAACATTTGCTGATCTGCTTCCTATATATAAATGTTGTGTTTTGTGTTCCTGGGGACACAATGAGTTATAACATTGTTTCTATAATATAAGGGGGAGAAGGGCATTTCACAGTGCTTGATGAGTGGAATTGTGATGGCTGAGGAACAACTGTGGCCATGGAGAACCTGTGTCAGTCAGCATTTATGGGGCAGGGCCTGAATGCTGCAAGATAAATAAATAATAAACAAACAAACAAAATTTAAAACTGCCTGCCTCCTGCCACAGTGAGAAGCAATATGGGACTCACAGGACTTTTTTCTCTCTGGACTTACGGAAAGAGCCCATGTGCATCTGTCCCTAGCTTAGACCTATGATCATATGGGACAGGAATTCACAGATTTGCTTTCCTTAACTTTGGGAAGTATCTGAACTGAATCTCCATTGAA